CGTTAGAGTTAAAGAAAATATCTGTAATTGGTTCAACTGGCTCTCAAGTGGTTGAAAAATTAGTGAATTAGTCAATGGTTTGCAACTTGCAAGAAACAAAATATATAAAGGACAAAAGGACAATCATAGTGCCTTAAAAAGTTCTGTTTACAGCGTAGTAAAACGTGTAAATTAGTTTATGTAGTTGCAACAGGGAACAAAAATTGAAGTAGAAATAAATAAAAGTTGGTGATAAATTGAACTGGATGCTTAAATATTTAAGCTCAGTAATGAATGGAAAATTGACTATTTTGCATCATAGACAACCCCAAGCCAAATCTATCTTCAAGCTAAGCCTAAGCTCTTCATTGAGGAGAAGAACTTGTATGTTGTATCCATCCCCAATCATTGATAATCATTAGAAATATCAAATTTAACTTCTAGATGCACACTAAATTACAACAAAACGAACAATGAGTATACTGGGAATTCAACAAACTAATAATAAAGCATTTTCTTGTCAACAATACAATGCCTAGAAAACAATACAAGAATAGTCTAGAACACATACCCTTACAATCAGAAAAATAGCACTTAAAAGTTGAACAAAGCTTTCAGATGACAGGCTCCTCAACTTGCTCGCAAGTGATGCGCCAAAACCTAAAAAACATGTTTAAAAGATCAAGGACAAATTCATCTTTAAAAAATGGTACAAAAAGAAAAGAACAAGACAGAATGTAAACATAAAAATTGAGAATTATAGCATCTACTTTTTCTCCTATATTAGGTGTAATTCTCAGTCATAGGCGTAGATGATAGACAAGATTACAAATTTCTCACCATCTGCATCAACTATTCGCTCCCCCGGTGTAAAATCTGACTCCAGTGGTCGCGAAACAAGAATGGGAAGCAGCTCTGCAACGGCATTTTTGATAGCAGACTTCATGTCAGCTGTAAGTTGGTCGCGATATAACCTCAACACAGAAGGGAGCTTGGCCTGAAAGTAAAAGAATACCATCTTTACTTAAAAGATCACTAAAGGTACTCACTGATCATGGAAAGAACTAAACTTCATCCCAAAGGAAGAAATAAAAATATGTTGAAAAATATTAGGTTTGACAAACCGATAATTACTCACTGTTCTAAGCAACCCAATAATGACAGGAAGAAGACGATCTTGAAAATTGGAGGTTTCTTCGTCATCCAACTTAATCTGCTGATACAAAAATAACGGTGATCAGTTCACATATAGAATCTTGCACAGATGCCTGAAAATCACGATAAAGGATATCAACTTAAAAAAGCAGTCATAGCATATAAGAAATGCAAACAAGAAACCATCAAATTTGGACAAGGCACTCGGTGTATAGAAAGTTAATTCAACAAAAGATCCTACAAAGCCTTTATAGATTACGTAAATGGTCAAAATTAAATTAAACACTTTCTTGCAGGGTTCAACAAAACTTGCAACATGGCTTATGGCAGGGCACTGGTTGTTGAGCCATCTTCAGATACGGTTGTAGTAAAAACAAATTTCAAAGCATACTATATAAAAAGATATGGTTCCAAATAAAATCTGCAAAGAAATCTTCACTCCTTACAATATTATATTTATCTGTGAGAATTTAAGCGAATTCGGAAGAAAAAGAAATGCAAAGGCTACAAAACTTAATTATCTGCTTTTCCGATCAGTGGAGAGCAGCTCCTTGCAGGAGAGAATAGACTTGAAATGAAGTAAAGAAATATTGTGGCATTTAAGAAAATAACTTGAGCTTACTTCACCATCTTCTCCATTCATCAGACTAGATGCCCTTGCTTTTGCTCTGGATATAATTATAATGTCTGTATCTCCAGCATCGTGTATTGAAGCACGCATAAACTCTGCAGAAAGAATGCTACAAGAATAAATTTAATAAGTTACTATAAACATGCCTCATATCATATTATTCCATTTGAAAGACTGAAAAACGTTTATTCAAATATTTTGGTCAATAGAAGCCAAACTGGATGAAGAAAAGCATCTCTATTTCAGACTCTCGGAAGAAAAAAATTAAAAGCTGCCAACCCCAGTCCCAAAATATTGAACCGCATATATTTAAAACGAGAAGGACAAAAATAATTATGGAATCAGAATTAAAAACATCAAAAGCAACTCAAATGGTGTCACTTGTTTCACTAAAAATAGTGTCACCGCAACAGGAAAACATACCTGTTTATGGATTCAATTGAAGCCGCTACGCGATCCCTAAGGTGATGGAAGCAATGTAGACCAGTAAGCTCGTCTCCATCCTATTAAACGTATTGACATCAATTAGGTACCAAAAAAGTTTAGTCCACTATTCCTTGTTTTAGTACTAGTTTGTGGAGGCAGATCAAACATAACGTAAATAAAAACATACCAGCAAATGCTGTAAATCGTCTGTGACGTCCAAGGCTCCAGCACAATCTGCAGAGGCAACAAGCTGTATGACAGAAAATGTAAATCAACTTATATCAAGAAACTTGCTACTTATAAAAATGACGATAAACATTTTTACACAACTCAAATGAAAATCATGAGCATTTCTTATAGAAAGGGACGAAAAACAAGCCACTAATCATCTGAACAGGTCGGGGATAAAATTGCAACAAAAGACTTGTGTGGATTATAATTTAAACTAGTTGGGCAACAAATTCAAAACCTATTATTGAATCCGAATCAAACTACTAAAAACGCCACCGAGTGCATATCAGTGCTTTAAATTGGCCCTTACTAGTATTTGCAACAAATGTAAATGGTCATCAAGTTTTATACTACGATCAGATTTTCAAATGAAGTGAATCTACTACGAAAACAAAGATAAAATCCAACATCGCAAATTGGCAATTCTTGATGAAGTGAATTCTAGACCAAATGGCTACTAATTATCACAACATGCACAATTCATTACACTACAAAACCGAAAGAAAGATATTGAAGCGCAATGCAATACCAGTTTAAGTGCCGAAAGAGCTTGATTAACATATAAAATGAGCCTCAATTTCTGCTGCAGAGCCAACAAATTGCTCCTGGTTTCATTCAAATCATGAATCTGCGTTGCGCACTCGACCAAATCGACATCCATGAGCAGAATCGTCTCCTTGAGCTCTCGAATCCGACTGCACCCCTCGACGATCTTGACATTCAAGTCCTCCAGCTGCCCCTGCGCCTCAAAGAAGGAGTTGGAACGCAGCGAGATCTCCTTCACCAAGTGAAGCTCCACCACGTCCAAGTAATGCGACAGCTTCTCCTGCAGTCCCAGGTTCTCTGAGACGTTCGTGAACGGGCAAGCCGACCGGAACGTGGCGCCATCCTCCAGGGCGAAGTCCTCCTTGAAATAGAGCGCCGGAACCTCCCGGAGGCACGCGACGAGGGCTTCGCCTTGGCCACCGATGGAATCGACGTCGGATTTCTCCTTCTTCACGTGGTTGATGATGTCCTCGAAGCGGTTGTAGTGATCGGAGACGGAGGCGAGGTAGGGCTGGAAGTCGGATCGGGTCACGGGGTCGGACGCAGATTTCGGCACGAGAGGTGCGAATTCGGGCGGGGCGACGGAGGCGGAGGAGGACCACCAACCGACCCAGGAGGAGGCGTCGGAGGCATTGGGGTTGTTGAGGATGGAGGCGAGGCTCTGGCTGGTGTTCGGGTCGGATATGGAATTGGATCGGCTGTTCAGCTTTCCGGGTCGGGCGTCCATGATTACCATCTCTTTGTTGGAGCTGCTGCTCTTGTAATTGTGGTTCTGGTTCATGAGCGAGTCGGGTGAGTCGACTCGGGGCGAGTGGGATAAACCCTACAACGGAAGAGGGGAATGCGCGTCGTGGTGGTGGATCTGGGATTTGGTGCTTTTGCAGGTGATCATATCATATGCTCTCTCTCGTATGGGAGGGAGATCTGGGAAAGGAGATAGGAGAAAGTGGAGGAGAAAATGGTAATTTAATTGATAAAATCGCAGAGACAGGTCGAGGTGGAGTTCGTCATGATGGTTCGAAAATTCTCACAGGGGAAAATCGGGCCGACCCGGCTTGGTAGAAATTGCAAATTGGTGTGAATGAAAAGCCGGTTTTGCAATTTGAAGCCCAATAAGTTTTTATCCAATTACTATGGGTTGTGGGCCTAAGCCCAATTTATATTTCCTTTCTTTCGTTTATTTTTTTTATTCAAGCGTCCTAATTTCTGAAGATTCGAATTTGAATGCTTAAAAAGATCACTTTGTTTTAGTCAAGCTGGCTAAGTTTGGTCTGTGAATTTCATATTATAAAGAGTTTAGAAAATTCAGGATCGAGTAAGTTTATTCTTTTTTTTTTTTTTTTTTTACATGATATAGGTTTATATAAATTAAAGTTTTTTTTTTTTTAAACAAACGATATTATCTATATTAGGGGTGGGAGGTGAGCTAGGTCTCACAATGGACTAGCAATAATATGGTTCAAATTCGCCTTCAGCGAGAATCAAATTTAAGATCTCTCACTTACAAGTGAGGAGGAATACCACTAAATTGTAGTACTAAGTGACATTTTTTTTTCTTTTGCTTGGAAGAAAAAAGTTCTATTGAACGCAGAAAGTGAACGTGGATAAATTTTCCAGCGTGTTGGGAATAAGGCCCGATACAGTTAGTGTCATAATAAAATTGATTGAATTTTTTTTTTTTTTTTTTAAGTTTTCAATAAATTGTACTGTTACACTTTGTGTATTGAAACATGATTTCAACATATGAAAAAATCTCGTGAATGAGGTCTTATCTTTATATATCTTCTTTATATATAAAGCCAACAACCCCATTTGGGGTCACAAGCTTCACCAAAAAATTTTAAACAAAAATGCTCCCAAAACAATAAATGTCAAAAGCAGCCCAAAATAATACACCGAATAACACATGATGATCCATGATTTGCTGACATGTTTTACGCGTTTGAGATTATTTGATGAATTTGGAAAAGTATGAATGAGTTGACTTTTGAGGCAACTGTAACTGCAGAGGGCTTTCGTTTTCTGACAATTTATATTTCAAGTAGATGCAAATGACCTGGTCTAAACGTATGAACTTGTTCTCTTTGAGTTTTCTTAGTAGACATCAACTTTTGATGCCTGATGGGGTTTCTTGCACGGTTTATCTCGCGTTTCTTTTCTCGTCGGAGCAATGACGGTGATCAAAACAAGACCAGATGCAACCGCACAGCACAAAGCCAGAACCGGGCCTTTGCGGAAGGCTTCTGCCGTCGGTTTTCACTCAGCGAGATGAGAGCAGCAACTCGATGTTTCAGCAACAGCTTACGTATTGCTTCAGATGGCTACGGCTCGGTGTACAAAGGTACTATCGACAGCGACAACGTGGTTGCAATCAAACGCTTTGTGGGAGATTCAAAAGAGCAGTTCAGGACGGAGGTGCAGCTACTTTGCCAGCTGCGCCACCCAAACATTATCTCCATCATCGGATTCTGCGAAGAAAAAGAAGAGTGCCTCATCGTTTACAACTACATGTCCAATGGTGCCCTCTCTAAGTACCTGGATAATCCCCTCGATAGGGATCCAGTACTACAACTGTCGTGGAAACAAAGGTTGAATATCTGCATCGGGGTGGCGAGTGCATTACAACACCTCCACACCGGGGTTAAGCATTCTATTGTCCATCGATTTGTGAATAGTTCCAATATTCTATTGGATGAACAGTTCGTGCCAAAGCTTTCCGACTTTGGGAGGTGCATGACGGGCCCTCGTACTCTGTCGAATGGATTAATTAGATGGGACTCCGTGACGGTAGATGGTACATACGGTTGTATTGCTCCAGAGGCTTTATCTGGCCAACTCACGGAAAAATCTGATGTCTACTCATTTGGATTGGTGTTATTGGAAGCCTTGTGTGGAAAATCTCGGCCGGTAGATATTTTGAATTCACTGAAAACGGGTGAAACTTCTCTTGATATGATCGATCCATTTCTGACGAGACAAATAGCTCCGGACTGTTTGAAGAAATTTGTGGACATCATCCAGAGATGTGTTCGCCCTAGCGGAGCTGAACGGCACACAATGGGGGAAGTGGAGGTGGAACTAGAGAACGCACTACAGCTGCAGGAAAGTGCAGACGCCGTCAAACAGCCCTTCTCTATCAATTCCTGAAATCAGTGATGATTTCTCCTCTTTGGATATGCGTCCACGGACTCCACGCCATCCAGTAGTTAGCTCCACTGGGTCTGCTGACCTTGATTCAAATAGTTATGATCTTCCAGTACTTTCTGATAGCTTTGAATTCGAATATTCTAGCTGGTAAACAATAATTTAGAGAAATGTGATGCTGTTAAGTATAGTTTGTCTTGTATTTTTTTTGTATTAGCTAGCACTTGTATTGTCACGAATCCAATATCAGCATTACTTGATTTGATTAATAATTTCAAGCTACCAGTCGTTGGGTAATTGTATGTTGAGTTTGAGCTTTAATATGAAATTTTCAAGCTCATCCAATTCAATATTCATCGCTATAGCATTACTTGCATCCCAATCCAACTCAAAGGTTGCCCAGTTTCAAAGAAATTCCTTGGGTTTGAATTTTCTCGCGTTGTCTTTCCGTGTCAGCATTACCAACTTGCCATGTACACGCGTATGAATAGCAGGAATTATAGTAACCACCAAATGCTTCAGCGACAAGTCATATCGGTAATGGTACCTAGAGCTCAGTCTGTAAATTAAGCGTACATCAACGATGGTGCTACTGTTCCTCTCATCACGTTCTACGACTAGATGTCCAACGCTGACCTCTGTTCCAGCCTATGATTGATCCATTTCTGGTGGGAAAAGTAGCTCCACATTGTTTAAGAAAATTTATGAACATCGCTAATAGATGTGCACGCTGACAGGAGCTGGACAGCCCAGGATGGGTGAAATGGAGGTGGAACTTGAGTGCGCACTGGAGCTGCAAGGGAGCGGAGATGCCGCCAACCAGCTCAAGGAGTCGGGGACAACTACAACCACTTCTCTTGCCCCTCCTCCTCCTCCTGTCCATTACATGGAAGACTATACCAACTAAGATACATCATTTACTGAGATCAATGAAAATTTCTCAAATATATATTTGCGAGAGTGGCTGTGAGATTCATTCGGTACTGATTTGTGAGTGCATAAGAGTAGCTATTACTTCTCACTACAAGAACCTTACAAAAGGTACAATGAAATAACCAATGAAGAAATAAACTCTTTTCTTTTACATTCTTCAACAATTCTTACCGAATTAACTTCAGTTGCGAACTACAATGGACGGTACGTGTTGCACTTTGTAAAAATTCTCTCCTTCACTTCCAATGTTGATCTTGAATAGGCATCCGTATATCTCCAATTCCTGAAGTGTTTTCACAAACCTCAGAGAATCCGGAATCGTCTTCAGTTTGGTGCAATTTGATATTTCCAAACGACAAAGACTAGGCATGGCTCCTTCTTCCATCGTCCAATCCTCTAACTTAGAAAACCCTCGGAGGAGTAGAGACCTGAGTTTTGGGAAACCTTGGTTAGAGCAGACCATTTTCTTCCCCATGAACATTTGCCATCCACTTAAAATTCTCAAGTTCGGCAGTTTTTCCAGTGTTGGCATTGGATCTTCCTCAAGTTTAGTGCCCCACAACGTTAACTTGGCAAGGTTTGGAGGGAACTGATGGTATTCTGGCAGCTTCTCTATCCGCCCTTGCACGTGCAATTTTTGAAGACGGCGACAACTTAACATTACTTGTCTAACATCAACAACCTCATCAGGGAATGAAAGTGTCTCACTCGTCAAGGACAAAGACTCGAGGCAGCTTAACGTTCTGCTTTGGGGATTGAAAATTTTCATCAAACTATTGAAATGTTTTGGATCATTCAACACCAATTTTCTAAGATTGGTCAACTTTCGAAGATCTTCTACGTCACATTTGTTTGCAGGAAAGTTTACGAGTGTCTGCAAGTTAATCAGATTTCCCAGTTGCAGCTTATCAACTGCATTGCCACACCATTTGGGAAGATATAAATGTCTTAGCCCTTCCATCTTCCAAATCACATTTGGAATTTGCACTGTCGGGTCCCAACTCAATTTGCTTATGGTTTGCAAATTTAGAGTTTTCAAGTGGATCAAATTGCCGATGGATGATGGCAATGCTTGTATACGTGTTTTCTTCAAACTTAGAAACTGCAACTGAACCAAGCCCCCGATATCTTTAGGTAACTTTTCGTACGGTCCCTTGACACCTTCAAGGTCGAGAACTTTGAGCATTTTGAACTCCAAAATTGTTTTTGTAAGCTGCCAACTTACCAATCTACACTTGCTTGCATGGAAATATACAAGTGACCTGAGACTGAGGCTGGAATCTTCTTTGTATTTAGACGGGATAAGATTATCAACATGTGAAGGTAAGAAGACAGCAAGTCTGCGAGTTTTACCAGTTGATGTTGCTTCAGAAAGCATGCGAGAAGAAGAAGAATCCACCATCATACCTTCATCCGAATAGTGAACATTCTGGAGAAAATTTTCCTGCTTTGCTTTCGACAAGCACAAGTCACGCATAAGATCATGCAGGCGGCAAGTTTTAATTCTTCCGGTTGAGCTGAGAGCTCCCACTTGAACCATACACCTATTAATCAAGTAACCCAAGTAGCGTTCTGCAACATCCTCTATTGTTTCATCTCCCTCTGCTTCATGGTGTGGCGATACAATGCCTTCTGCAATCCATAATTGAACCAGTTTTCTCCTCGGAATTTCAAAATCTTCCGGAAAATGGCTCAAATAAAGGAAACAGGGTTTCAGTTGGAAAGGCAAATCATGATAACTCAAAGCCAAAACCTCAGGTACCGTAGAGTGCTGCTCATGCCCTTTGGCTCGCTTTAGATATGAAAGAATATCTCTGAGGACGATATCCCACTCGTGCACTGTTTCTTTAGTGGCCAAAAGTCCTCCAAGCACAACAATGGCCAAAGGCAAGCCAGCACACTTTTTCACCATTTCCCTCCCTAACTGCTCCTTATCTATGCTTCTGGTAAAATCTGCAATATTAAGGAAGAAAACAATTTAGCAAAACTCTCTCAGTTGGGAATAGCAATCCTATACGAAAATGTGTTGAAATTGAGTATGCACATAAAGGGATCAACAACTAAACAACATATGTAGGTTCGCTTAATTCGAGTTGGACACCGTTGTTTTTTGTTTTGAAATCGTTCAAATATATCTTGCAAGAAGAGAAGTTATTAATTTCTTGGTTAGTGTCATATTAAGTTTCTAACTAGTTAGCACTTGAAACTATTTATGTATAATTGGGAAATGCATAATAAATTGGAATGGTAAACTACCCGGATCACCATTTCTTGGAAATGCCTTCTTCTGAAGCAACTCCCAACCCTCTTCTTCAGTTAAGTTCCTCGGCTCATGAAGACCGCTTCGGTCTACAAAGGAAGCTAAGTCCTTGTTACGAGTTGTAAGCAATATTCTGCTGCACCCTTTTCCCGACGATGGAAAGGCAGGACTTAGAATTTTCCAGGCCTCAATCGACCAAATGTCATCAAGAACCACCAAATATTTCTTCTCTATTTGAACTTGATGAAGCTTCTTTGCAAGCTCTTCGTCTCTCAATTTCAAAATGTGATCCCTCTCCTCTTTCGACGGAGAGGTTAGCTTAATCAGAATGCCTTCCCAAACATCTCTTGGTTTGCATTGTTGAGATATGTAAGCCCACGCAGAACCGTCAAAATACCGCCTAACATGATCATTGCGGTAAACTTCCTTGGCGAGAGTGGTCTTCCCCAACCCGCCCATCCCACAGATGGACACAACTCGACCTTGTTTTTCTTCACTCATGAGCTCCGCCACTAGTTCGTTTATGTTTCCTTGTAAACCAACGATATGGTCGTCAATAACATGGGAATAAGACCACCTCAATTGTTTTTGCTTCTCAAACGCAATACTCGATGAGCCTTGATGATCTCTTACAACAGTCAAGCCGTAAGTTTGTGTACTTCTAGTAAGGTCAGAAATTCTAGCTTTGATGGCCTCAATCTCAGACCCAACTCCATAAAGATTTGAAGCTCGGCTGAAAAAACAAGCGTACCTTTTTAGCGGATTGGAAATTGGTGGTGCAATTTTGATGGTGAAACTTCCAATGACATCCTCTGCATCATAAGCAACTTCTCTAATCTCGGAAACCCAATTCCGAATGCTTTCATCCTCGTCTTGCCTCTTATCGGCATCTTTCAAGAAGCATTGCATCCGACTCAGTTCGACTCGGATCTGCTCGACGTTTTGCTTGACCCCGTGTAAGAAGGTGGCTTTTTCAATCAGCAGGTCCCCAAGCCTGTCAACAACAAAGGATACCACAGACTCTGCCATGCTTCGTGCTTGCTAGCTACTTCCTGATCCTCGAAATTACAGCAAAACAAAGGTTGATTTTGCACACACAAGAAAAGAAGAAGAAAAAAAGCTCTTCCCTTTTTTCTTTCTTTGTTTCTTTCTTTGTGATTTGTATAACCAACTGGCAATTATTTTGATATTTTCCACCGTCCAAGTTTCATTCAGTGAAGAAAGAAGAAAAAATAATTGGAAACAAGACCAAGTCTCTCATTCAGTAGGTAATTATTGGGAAGCTTCTTAGCTATATATCCCGAGTTTATATCCGTTTGTGTCTATCTCTCTGTCGTTACAAGGGGAGATACAGCAGGAAGTTTCTCTCCACTTGTTGGGAGGGTGGTGAATGGTCCAATCTGGCGTGCGTGACTGGAAATATTTTGATGTGGGGCTAGGGCTATTCTATCATCATATAGTATCCGCACAGCCCTTCAATTATTTTCCACTTTAAAGTAAATTAATATTTGAGAGCAACGTGTGAGGTCCTTGTCATATCTGTGTGTCCATATACACATACATATACAGCCTCATTCCGTCAAAAATGATCTCTTCTAAAAAATCACCAAAATTTAGAACTTTATAACCGATTTAATGGTAATCATTTTTAGTGTTTATTTTTAGAACCGTATTCATTCATTTTCTTCCTTATGAATGTAGTGCTCATTCTATAACATTTTTCAACAATTCAATTGTCTATATTTTAGTACACATCATTCATAGATCACCTTTGTAAAAATTTAGACAAATTCAAAAATATTAAGACATCCAATTGTAGTGAAGAAATGAACGAATACGGTTTTTCAAAGAAATAATATTACGATTACCATTTAATCCAACAGTCAAATGATTTTGAATCTGAGTGATTTTTTTAGAGATAATCTTTGAGGAAAAACTTAAAAATGGTTTGATCGTTGAAATCCGATATAGAGTAAGACGTACACAGGATCCCTCAACGGTCATGCCAAAGGAAGAATCTTCCCAACAATTACCTAAGAATCTCGGGATATATAGCTAAGAATCTCCCCAATGGAAGGCATCAAGACTAGTTAGCCAACGCGGTTTAAACGAATTAAGATCCATGTTATATTTCTGTTCTATGGATTATGGGATTTAGTAGTAGTACCGCACAGTCAGTTATGTCACGATTCTTCAATAATTTGTGGAAGAAATGTGCACCATATTCATCTGATCATAGAAGAAAACCTACAGATACAGATCGAGATGAAGCTAAATGGGCGTTTCCAGAAGAATTGTGTCGTCGGTTTTCACTCGCGGAGATCATAGCAGTAACTCAAAACTTCAATGCTAGGTTACGGATTTGCAGTACCAGAAACTTGTCATTTGAAGTTAATGGCCTAATAGAAAAGTTTTTGGTGTTTGATCACCTTGAAGGTCCGAAAACAGAAGACGGTATTAATGTTAGTGCTGCAGGTGTCTACAAAGGATACACCAACCTCAACGGCGTAACTTCTACGGTGGCAATCAAGCGCATTCCCAGCACACAATCAGACATTCAGCAGGGACGCGAGTTCAAGGCGGAGGTGCAGCTACTGTGCCAGCTGCGCCACCCCAATTTAATCTCTCTGATCGGATTCTGCCAAGAAAAGGGAGAGTGCGCCATTGTCTACAACCACATGTCCAATGGTCCCCTTTCTTATTTCCTTTTCAATCCTCATAACAATAATAAAGATCCGTTGTCTTGGAGCCAAAGGCTGAATATCTGCATTGGGGTGGCGCGTGCAATACACTATCTCCACACAGGGGTTAAGCATGCTGTAATCCACCGAGACATCAAATGTGACAACATACTCTTGGACCAAAGCTTAGAGGCCAAGCTTTGTAACTTCCGGCTGTCCAAGATGGGTCCTCCTACTTTGTCAAATGCATTAATCAGATTGAACTCCGTTTCCGGGGTGGCAGGTACATTCGGGTATCTTGATCCGGAGTATGATTTGTCTGGCCAGCTTACGGAAAAATCTGATGTCTTCTCGTTCGGAATGGTGTTATTCGAAGTATTGTCTGCTAAATATTCAAGAGAGATACCACAATTATGTATCGCTCACCCAGCTGATATTCTAGACTCATTTCTCATGGGAAAAGTAGCACCTGATTCATTGATAAAATTTTTGGACATCTTCCAAAGATGTGTGCGCCCTACAGGATCCCAACGGCCCACGATGGGTGAAGTGGAGGTGGAACTTGAGTGTGCGCTGGAGCTTCAGGAGAGCGCAGATGCCGAAAAGGAGTTGAGGACACCAAGCACTTCGCTTGGTTGTCCTGCCGATGACTATGCCTACCATTATCAAGGGATATCACTTTCTGAAATTAATGATGTTTTCTGTTTTTTGTGTAATCGTCCACGGACTCCACGCCATCCAGTAGTTATATCAACTGGGTCTGCTGATCTTGATTCAATTAGTACTGATCTTTCAGTACTTTCCGATGATGATGGTAGCTCTGAATTCGAATATTCTGGCCGGTAAACAATTAAATATTAATTGAAAATGCAGTGCTGTTGGAGAAATAAAAAAATAAAAAAAAATAAAAAAACACTATCGAATGTATAGTTAGCCTTGTGTTTCTTGTATTAGCATTTCAATTCATCAGGATTGATTAGTTAAATTGAATTTCGCATTGAAATTGGGTTGTGTCTGTTCGTGACGTCTGCGTTGCTTGCATCCCAATCCCACTCCAAGGTTGCCCAGTTTCAAAGAAATTACTTGGTTTTGGGATTTCCTCATATTTTCACCATCACCAAACTCGCCAAGTACGCGTATCTGATATTTTTCAGTACTTTCTGATGACGGTAGCTCTGAATTCGAATATTCCGGTTGGGTTTCAGCCTAAAACGCGTGTGCTGGTTCCAGCATAAAACACGTGTGGTGGATTTTCAAACCTACATATGAACAACAATTGGATGACGTGTAGCATGTGTGACCGTTTGGCTTCACATGAGGACAACCTGCTCTGATACCATGATGAAATTAACGTTTCACCATAAAATTAATTGGTAATATAGGAAGTAACTTAAGATTATATAAGCATATAGCAAACATTGTTCCTTACCGATGTGGGACAACTCTCAATACTCATACGCGTAAGAGTCTCTGATGAATTAGAAAAGAATGTAGAGTTGGCTTTGAGGATGCGCAGTGCCTGTACTTAGTAGCTCTGAATTCGAATATTTCGGCCGGTAAACAATTAAAGACTATGTAGAAAGATGTGATGCCGTTGGAAAAAAAAGTATAAAATTAAAAAATTAAAAACCATCGAATGTATGTTTGTCTTGGGTTTCTTCATATTAGTTTATTAAATTCGCATTGCTTTTAAAGCTCTAGCAAGAATGTCGGTGGATCACTAGCTAGAAAGATGTAGCTATTTCTACAATTGTGAGGTTGTCATGCAAAGGGTGGGCTGGTTGTAGAAAAGCCTAGAATATGGCTAGGATGAATTTGAGCCATGTTAACCGACTTAGGAAGTCAGCAAACCTCACTATAAATATGTATGTACGTGTGTAACCAAGTAATCAAGTAGCGAAGAAGCAAGTAGGCAATCAAGTGAAAGTGAGAAGCAAGAATAGTCTTGTAGTAGTGTGGGCGATCTAGAATATCTCTAGAAAGTAAGCGAATGTCATTGTTTTTAAAATGTCTTTGAGAGTTTGTGTTTTGTAATATTTTGTGTGTAATACAAGTAATTTGTTTACTTGTGTTGTATTTCCAACACTTATGTTAGACTTGTGTGCTCTAAAGTTTTTTCCTCAACATGGCTTCCTAGCTAGCTACCAGTCGTTGGGTAGGTTTGAATGTTGTTGAGTTTTAGGTTTGATATGAATTTTTCAAGCTTCCCAAATGCAATATTCAGCGCATCTGTCTGCTTTGATAGCGCCATTTACGACGTGTCTGTTTTGTGACGTCTGCGTTGCTGGCATCCCAATCCAAGTCGAAGTTTGGCCAGTTTCGAAGAAATTACTTGGTTCTGAATTTTCTCGCATTTCTTTCCATGTCCCCATTACGAATTCACCCCGTATGTAATGCGTGGGTCTCTTCTGAGTTGGAGAAGTATGTTGAGTTGACTTTGGGGATGCCGCTTCAATAGTGAGTCCTCTTTGCCCAGGAGTGCCAATGATCATCATCAATTGATTCTTAATGTCTAAATCTAAGATTTTGAGCTCCTGATCTTGGAATTAGACAACAGTTAGCACAATGATGGGTTTCAGTACCACTGCAGAGTCCGCCTCATGTTTCTTCTTCTCTTCATGGAAGAAACTAGCGTCATGGGATAAAAGCAGAAAACGCAGACCAAACCAAGACTGGGCCTTTATGGAGGAATTATGCCGCCGATTTTCGCTAGCTGAGATCATAGCAGCCACTGAATGCTTCAACGACAAGTTCCATATTGGTAGCAGTGCCGTGAGCTCAGTCTATAAAGGGTACATCAACGGCGGGGCAACTGTTGTTGCAATCAAGCGATTTACAGGCAGCAGACAAGACTTCAGGAATGAGGTGCTGCTGTCCTGCCAGCTGCGCCACCCCAACCTTCTCCCTGTTATTGGATTCTGTGAAGAAAAGGAGGAACTCATCCTTGTCTACGACTACATGGCCAAAGGTGCCCTCTCTTCTAAGCTGTTCAAAAGAGCGGATCTTGATCCGCTGCCCTGGAGGCAGAGGCTGAACATATGTATCGGGATAGCACGCGCATTGCATTATCTCCATGCAGGGCTAAAACATGCTATTGTCCACCGCGACATGAAATGCTCCATCATACTATTGGATGAAAGGTTCGAACCAAAGATTTCGAACTTATTAACGTTCAAGATGGGTCCTCCTAGTTTGTCAAATAAATTCATACGAGTGACCTCTGATAGGATCGTGGGCACTTCCGGGTATATTGATCCCGAGTATATCCATTTGGAACAATTTACAGAAAAATCTGATGTCTACTCGTTTGGAATGGTGCTGCTGGAATTGTTGACTGCCAAATTGGCAAAAGAGTTTCATACATACACAGGCAGGCCGGACACCTTATGCGATATAATGGACCCTTCTTTGAGGGCTAAAATAGCTCCTGATTGTTTGCAAAAATTTATGGATATCGTTTATAGATGTGTACGTCCTACAGGAGCAGAGCGACCCTCAGTAGGCGAAGTGCAAGTGGAACTCGAGTGCGCATTGGAGCTGCAAGACAGCGCAGATGGCAAGAAGGACGCTTCCCTTGGTCTTGCAGGTGACTATAGCTACCAAGGGATGTCAATTTGTGAAATTGATGATATTTTCTCATTTTTGTTTAGGCAGCTCACAACTTCGAATGTCAGCTCTTGGTTTGAATAATAGCATTGATTTTTCTGTTTCTGATGATGGTTGCTTCAAATCCGACAGGGCAACAATAATGTAGACATTTTTATGCATACCATGCCCTTTAAATCCATTTGTAATTTTACAGTAGGTTCATATTTACATACTCTCTCGGAACAATAGCGAAGATTTGGTAAATTTTGTTTCTTTTTCTTCTAACTTAGGTGCTTCAAATTGTCTGACTAAAAACAAAAAGAGTTGAGAGTTACTGGGAGCACTATATCTACAAGCGGGGCTTGACAGCGGTGGTGTGTGCGTTTGTTCTTTGCTTTTTGCCATTTTTTGGTAATTTCTTGTATATCCAATTTTTTATTCGTTAATTAAATTATTTTACCTTTTTTCCCCACAAATACATATTCACATACCAGGTATATGCATACATAGGCTATAGCAAAGGTATTTTAAGGCGAATTAAACCTCACGATATTATTTTGTAATTCCTGTAAACCGCTAATTTGTTTAACAAAAAAAAATGAACTCGAATATAATCAATTGAAAGAATTAGTGAAAATAATATTTTAGTTAAAGTGAAAAGATTTTCACATACTAGCTTTATCCATGGTCGTTGACGTTGTTTTCAATTTACTTGACTGCCACACAAATTATCTTCTTTTTTATTTTTGGACAAATATCTTTTCTTTTCTTAAAAAAAGTAAATTCTAGTAAAAAAAAATGCAAATGAACATTCCTAAAATATATGAAGCCTTAAGGTGAGAAAATTAATACTATATATTTTTTATATAAGATTATTAATTATATTTAAAGTTATAGACTACCATCATAAACTTGTAAATTTCTATGGAGGTGTAGAATTCATGCTTCTTCTTCATTTTTTTTTTAATAAGAAATCAAGTGATTTTTCTAAACTTCATTACATTTTATAAATTTTGATAAGTGTTTTGTCAACAATAGCTATGGAATCTGAAAGATCAGGAAAGACTAGAGAGAGAAAGAGAGAAAGCTCAGAAAGAGAGGGAGTGCTGTAACTGATTTTTATTCCTTCAGTTCTATCCATTACAAGAGATATTTTTCATTATAAATACATGTCAACCTATCTATCTCAACTCATATAATCCAGTGACACATGTCATAATCTTGACCACTAATCCTTGACCACTAATATACTCTAACATTCCCCCTCAATCTTATGGCTTAGGTAAACCAAGCATAAGATTGGAACAATGAGTGGTAAACAATGGGGAACATATGAAGGAAGATTTGTGAAAAACAAGTTTATTTGAGCAACATCAACAACATGCAATTAACAATTAAAAGGCGGAATCATGTTTATATGCACTAAAAAACAAAACTTAACCCATGAACTTCAAAGCCTAGTAAGTAGGTGAACCAAGACTCAACTCAAAACAAAGTGAGTTGAGAAATCAATACCTTTGTAGATTCCTCTTTGCATAAGCAAAGGCTAATCACCCAAAGAGAGGGCCTTCATTCCTTGCATCTTAGATCCATGGATTTGGATGGATGAAAAGGTTTCTCCAAGTTCCCAAAATTGAGAACCTCTAAGTCTCCACACCAAGGCATATTGTAGAAGAAATGAGTGACCTAGAGGAAGTAAGATTGCTAGATGTTTTCCTCTAGGGTGGCCGGCCTCTTTGAGAGCAAAGGGAGGTTTTTTGTTCTCATCTTTACTCCTTAGAAAACCCTAAGGATGAAATGGCTATAAAGATGTCTTTATACCACCTCACAATGGAGTGGCAAACTTGCAATTAAGCCAAGTTCACTACCCTCCTCTAAATGGCCGAATTTAAGGGGATTTATTGGGCTATTTGGGCCTTTGTGAATCATTATTCATTAAGTTGTCATACAACTTAAGTCAATGGACTTGACGTTCGAAGCCCATTGGGCCTTAAGGTCCAAAACTATCCCGAGGTCTTTAACGAACTTATTCGTTTGATTAATAATCATATTAATTAATCCTTGCCATAAATAATTAAACCATTTAATTATTCTTACTCATCTCCGTTGAATCTTCAATCTCTACCTTACACGGTGTACGATCCATTAGGTTCCTTTTAGCGAGGCAGTGGGCGATTCAAACTCTTTCAAATCGATTGTGAATTGAAACTTACTTTCAATTCTCCCGTTAGTGATAATACACTTTTAGGGCTTCCACAAACCATGGTTGACGCCTAGCAGCATGTCATGGTTACC